AGCTGCTTCTCTGCACCCAGGATTCTCTGAGTGTTAGCATTTTGGTTAATCTCTTGTCTATTTGGCAAATTGAATCACACTGTTTTTTTTGTTAGTTTTCTTCTAATTTCTCAACTGACAACCTTAATTACCTTTCAGTTGATTATCAGCTATTTAATTTTTTTCTTCCTTACATCATTCTCAGATTCTGGAAACTATATTGTGCTTTTCTGTAGCCTTTGTCTCCAAGCAACTTGGTTTGACATAGCTCTGTTACTGAAGACTTCCCTTAACATGCAAAAAGGATAAAAAAAAAATAGTCTCTCAAGTCAAAAGAGCCTCCTGGGCTGGCATCTGTAAGCTCTGTCTTTAAAATAGGAAAGAAACAATATTTCTCTAAATGGACATCCCCTATACCAGGAAATCAGACTTTGAGAAGCTTAGAAGAAATTCCATAGGTTCTGTCCTGGGTACTTCTCAGTTCTGACACATGCTGCTGATAAAGCATTTGATAGGGGCTGGGGATGTGGCTCAAGCAGTAGCGCGCTCCCCTGGCATGGGTGCGGCCCAGGTTCGATCCTCAGCACCACATACAAACAAAGATGTTGTGTCAACCGAAAACCAAAATGTAAATAAAATATTTTTAAAAAAAAGCGTTTGATATCTAGATGCCTGTGTTTCCTCATCTCTATAATTGGATGTTTTTAAAGGTCTCAGTTGGTTTAATGAATTCTTGGGGACTATTGATAAGTAGGTGCTGTTTCTCCACACCTGACAAGACACCTTGAAGTTACTGTGTAGACACTGCTTAACCATTATTTGAAACCATATCAATTTTCTTTTAGAAACTTATAACATTTTTATCATGGGCACTCATGTCATCCATGTGCCAAAATAAAATATGTCAACTCTTCCTTGTTTGCAATCCAGAGTCCAATTCTCTGAGGTTTCATGGTAGTGACAATAATTATATGCCCTCCTTTTGCTCTGTGCCCTCATTAAAAACAAACAAACAAACAAAAACCTGCTGCATGTCTCTATAACCCATGTCCCTCTTTGTTTTGAAACACAGTGTTGTAGGGACAAAGGAGGCAAGGCACCAAAGATAGCAGGAAACAGTTTTATTTGGCTGCAGCCAGGTCCAGAGGGTACAGCCTTTGCTATAATCAATCAATCCCCTGAACCCTGAGTTCAGGGAGTTTATAGTTTTATATCCAGCATGTAAGGGAAGGGGCGCAGAAGTTCACAGCCTGAAGAAGTTTACATAAAAGCAGCTTTTTCTTTCACTGTTCTGAGCATGTTAACTCTTCAAGGTCAACACCTGAGACGGGGAGAGCTTCATCTCCCCTTTCTTTCTTCCCCTTGCCAGCTGTTACCTGATATACCTAGCCTAGTTATCTCATTAGATCAGAAGCCAGCTTGTCACAAGTTATGAAGGATTCATTTCTGTTTTCTGTAAAAATATCAGGATATCTGTATGGCCTGGCCATCAGTTGATGTTATAAAGCTGATTGGAATGCCTGCCCATGCCCTGAACTCACCCATGTCCGGTTTTCCCTGACCATATAACAACACTTTCCTAAACCTAAGTGACGCCTCATAAATTCTGGCCTTCCCTGGCCAGATATCAACCCTCTCTGAGTCTCTAAGATCTCCATAAATTCTGATGCCAGGGCCAGCAAAAATGTAAACTTGTGTTATGCTCCTCAGAGCATTGTTATCTGTAACCCCCGTTTTGTGTAACTTTTTGGGCTATAAAACTGGGCCACAAAGAAGCCTCGCGGCTATCTTTGGCTCCCAGGATTTTGAGGGGCAAGGCAGCCCGGCTGGTCGAAATAATAAGCTTGCTTTAATTTGATTTTAATTGGAGTCAGTGGTCTTTTCTTGCGTCGTGGTCTAACATTTTGGAATTCCCCAGTGAGATCAAACTGCAGGACCAGACTGCAATATCAGGCTGCTGGAAATTCTGAAGTCAGACTTTCGCTCCTGGGCTCCGGGCTGGAGAGCCACTCTAGGGGGTGCACACCTTGAGATGTTCCAAGGCCCCAGGGTGAGCCTTTGGTCCTCGGAGAGCTGGAGTGAACTGCTGCACTAAAACAATTAGCAAGCATCTAGTGGAGGAGGCCTCCATAGGTAAGTGGCGCCTTTATAACATCTGATATCTGGTTAAGGGAGATCTCTTCTGATGTCAGAGAGGTGTCCTGGTGAGGTTCACATATACTCCTCTCTGGACAGTAATGAGAAATCGTTCTGGTCCTCTGTTCTGTTTTGTAGGGAATTCCTCTGGAAGGGTAGAGAGGTGCGGAGGGGCACGCATGCACTCCTACCCAGGAGCTTTAGCAAGATGTTGCATTGCTCCTCTGTTTTTCTGTTTCGG